CTTTCACTACCATCAACCATACGCCAACCCTATCCCTCCTTCCTCTTCCACCGCTAATCCCACTCCTCCTTGAGAGGAGGGGAGGGGGAGAAAAGAGGAAGAGGGGGAGGGGTGGTGGTAGAAGTGGAGGAGAGAGAAGGGGAAGAATGGTGGTGATAGTGGATGGAAGGAGAAAACGATGGTAAGATTTGTTTTATGTATACATATACACATAAACATACGTATGTAGAGAGAGAGGATTGTGTTTGGAGTGTTTTTAGGATTTTTTTGAGCGTGTTATTGTAGCAATGAATTTGAAAAATATCTCGATCCAAATGGATACTAAACAGATGTCAATCAATTATTTATAACCATTATTTTGAAATATTTTAAAATAATTGTCATATTAGAAAAGTCAAAGAATCTTTTAATCTCTCTTTTCAATATAATTCTTCTTTGTAATCATATGTACGTTACTATTTAAATTTAAGATTTGAATTTATGAAAGTAAAATTAAAAAGAGAAGGATAAACATTACAATCAAATCATTATTATTAAAAAATTAAATTTTTTAAACATGATTAAATAAGTGGGACGAACGAAATATAAAAAATAAAATATACAGCACGGAACAACATGCAGATTCGCAAAAGGTCTCGGTTATAATTACTAGTAAATCAAAGCTCCGCCGGACTACAAGATAATGGATTTCCAGATGACTCATCCCACCAAAAAAAATAAAAAAATAAAAAAGGGTCAATAACTCAATGAATAATGTCGGCCACCTTAAAATGGTATTAAAAACTATAACTCTCTGTATGAAAATATTCAATCCTTCTCCAGGGAGGAGCGGGCAAGAAACCTATAGCCTTTGTTGCTTTAAAGACAGCACCACAGTTGGTGAGACCGCTTTCATCTTCTTCTTTTGGTCGGGGCTAATCTTTCTGTGTTTCGGTTTAACAGTTATCAATACCTATAATTTTGTAAAAAGAAAAAAAAATTATGCGTTATCATACATATTAGTACAATTCAGTTACTATATATAACTTTCGTAGTTTGTAGAAGAATACTCAGAGGTGGAAGCCTTAGAAGCCCTCTTCAGTCTAGTGTTAACAAGTATCGATCCAACCGTGTAAAATTGCGTTAGGTGATTAGTTCATTGATCTTAACGTTTCCGGTAAAAAAAAAAAAGAAAAAAAAAAAGAAGATTAGTTCATTGCCATTGCTACAATGCTTTTCAGAGTATATACCATGTAGTGTATTATCAATATTAGATCAAGTTTTTAGTTTCTTAATTAGAGGATCTCCGTTCTCTACAAACAATGGTAGAGTCAACAAAACCTAAAGTTAGATGAGCAACCGTCAATTATTGAACAATATAAGGGTTTGATTGAAAACCAACTATATTGGTGATAGCTGGAGTTGGCCAAGGGTTTAAAACAGCTATTTTAGCGGCATCGGCAACTACAAAATATGAAAACGTCTAATTTCTTATATAATATGCAATGTATTGTAGTATTAATTTATAGTTAGTATAAAATAACTAGTTTTAAGATTTCTGATATGGCCAATAAATTTATCAAACTACCTAATATATAGTCTAGTGAAATTCTCGTTTATGCTTGTCGTTGAAAAGCAAAATTAGAATTTGCATTTTCACTCATTTTATTTGTTAGTTGATTAACTAATCTTAGTGTTTTATAAAAGTATATGCATAATTAGTGAAGTATTAAATTGCAATGCATATAATACCCAAATAAGTTACACGGTTACAAATCACCCAAGAGTGAGTTGATAAATCAACCAAATAAAAAATGATAATAGTACAAGATACTCCAAATTTAGTAAAGAACAGCGCATTCTAAGAAATATTTTGTAATCCAGAAAAATTCTAAGTGTAATTTTATTTTATTTTTTTGTTCTTCTTTCCCCATAGTTAGCTATTATCTCTCTTAAACACGTTCAATATAATTGACTATCCTTTCCATATTACTCTCAGTCTAATATGGTATTATTTGACTTTTTATACATGTATTATCTTCTTTCATATTTATTTTTTTATTTTGGATTTTGCTTCACTTGTTTGTTGTTATACATGGGGTTTTAATTAATTCAAAATTTAGTAGATACCCCGTGCTATTTTGTTTGAGGGGTTGGAATGTACAATTCTTATAGTTTGAGGGGGTGCAAACTATTAAACTATAATCAGGCTAAAATATAATTGAGAATAGTTATAAGGCATAAAAGATTTAAAATTTTGAGGATTCGCAATTGCCCACCTATCATATGTACGTAACTCTACCCTGTCTCCTACAAATGTCTTAGTCCATACTTTTGAAGTCTGCCCCTTTAGAACACCGAGGTTTCATATCGTAATGGAATGAGATAGCAGTCGTTATCTTTTATTTTAGCCGCGTTACATAACTCTTTCTAAGATACCATCAACATCAAGTGCCATTCCTTTTAGTCTTTTTTTCTTTTAGACAACACCTGTTATATAATCTAATTTATCATATATTAGAGGGGAAGGAGTGAACCTAAGGAGGTCCAGGGATAATTCGGAGGGATTGAATTACCACCGAATCAAACGGATGCACTGTACATTCACTTGAATTTTTTTGGAGGCGACAACTGTTTTATAACATAATCTATCATATACTAGGAGAAGTGAGTAGACTTAAAAGAGATCCAAGAATAATTCAAATGGAGTGAATCACGATCGAATCAGACGGGTGCACTATATATATGTCTGAATTTCTTGAATCCAGACCACGTTAAATGTGACATTTGGTGGGAGGTAAGAGTTCAAACCGCGTCAATCCTTAATGGCAGCCTTTGGGCCGGTGGTTGCCATTCCTTTAGTCGAGATGCATTAAAACAAGCATTCTCTCAAAATGCTACTGAGTGATGGGAAATAGAGGAAAGCAAGTTGAACAGCTTACCACCAACCGGTCGAATGTAATTATGCAAGCTAATCATGGGAAAACTTTAGAACAATTAAAAAAAAATCATAGGAAATCTTTTTTCCCATTTTAGACTCTCTTTCGCGCCTTTCCTGAAAAACTATTGGTCCATGGATAATTTGGATTAAATGATTAGTGGGGGAAAAGGTTGGACGACTCATTTATTAATGGTCCACTTTTGCCAATGCTAAAATAATACGTTGTTCTCTAGCCATGTCTCCTAAAGTCACGAGGAATCAATCCTTTGTTTGTTTCTGTCCCATCTTTTACTTTTCAAAATCATATAATCAAACCAAATTAAATTATGCCAGTTAACTCGCATCACCTCCACAACTTGTTCTTCAGCCTGTGTTGCATACCGGCAAATATGCGATGGACCTAGTTCCCCTTCATTTTGGTCTCCGTATGCAGATCAGCTGCCTCTGAATATATATATATATATATATATATATATATATATATTCTTTTGAGAGATTGGGGGGAATCTCTTACAGGCATACAGGATAATGATATATATATTTTTTTAAGAAAAGTTTATATTTAGCTGTTAATTATATTCATTCTTTTTGGCAATAGTCTGTGTGATTTAAATGTCACCACTGAGAGTTATTACTTGTTCATCTTGGACATGCACAATTTTATCTGAGTAAGACTTGATTTCTCTATCACACCATTGGCCCGTTTTTATGCCTAGATGTTGTGAAGGAAAAGAAAACAGATTTTGTTTTTATTGATGGTTGTTGGGAAAAATTTTTTGGTCCTATTTATTATAGTACTTTTTTAATTAATGTGATGCATGCGAGGGAAAAAATAAAAGTAGTTGAGAAACAAATTTTGTGTATAAAACAAAAATAAGGAAATATCGCATGTTGTTCATCATGAAAATGTGAAATAAGATTCCAGTTTAAGGGGAATATCATGATAAACAACAGTAGCGCTCCTTGAAGTTTGTTGTAATTGCTAGATTTTGGGGGAAAAAACTTTTCAAAATATTTTCTTGACGCATTTTTATCTTACATATATTATATTATTACAAAATATTTTTTAACGAATTATCAAAAATTACCATCCAAATAGGCTCTAAGTTTCTTGTATAATAGTACTAGTATTTATTTTCTTATCGACATGCGTAGGAAGCTTCAGTTTCCGTTGTTTAAACCACAAGAAGATTGAATGGAAACGGTTTTTTTTTTTTTTTTTTACTTTTGCTAATTTCACCTACACGAATTTTTCAAAGAAAGAAGCCCGGCATGGAGCTTAATGCATATGCACTAAAGCTTCGCCGTTTCAAGAAATTCATTTTCTAGATATAGAACTATCCTTTTACAAAATGCGCGTCATTGCTTTGCCATAAGAGGCATTCGTTGTTGACTTCGTGTGGACTGACTCCTTGCGTCCAAAACTTTTTTATCTGTTCCTTTTTTTTTAATTATTTACACTCTGAGAAAACTTAAAGCACTTCATCCCTTCTTTAAAAAAGAGATTTTTTAGGAGTATTTAAAATAATTAATGTACCATTTTTGGTAATATGTTACATATGAGATAAAAAGATAATTAAAAAGATAAAATAGTATGTTAAAAAATGTGTTTATTATGTAAGTCAATAATTTTTATACAAATAATACCTAAATAATATTTTACTGATCATTTTATTCCATTAAGTTAACCACTCAACGTTTGCTATGATAATCGAAACAAACAAAAACCAAAAAAAAAAAAACACACACACACAAAACAAGAAGAAGAAAGAATATGAATTTACTATTCTTGGGACATGAAGAATTTTTTCTTAATACTTGATACTTGTGATTATTTGTGGATTGAAATTATCTTAATTATCATTCTTGGGGACTTATGCTGACAAAGATACACATATAACAACCATTTATTTATAAATGTGTTTTTAAGATAAAAAATAATTAGAAATACGTTTTTTTTGCCTAGACAAAACGAAAAGTATTTTACGTATTTCATCCTACACTCTAGCATGCGGGAAAAAAATAGAAAAGAGGAAAAGAATAGTAGAAGACAAAGGGGGGCCTCGCCCGAATTGAACGTCACCATTCACAACTTGAAGCTCAGCTTCGGCATCTCCTTCCGCTTCTGGTTTGTTCGCCAAAAACATTTACACGCACACACACACGCACGCACCAACAGCAGCAACATTCCCACTCCATCCACCTATGTCTGCTACTTCCAATCCCATTATTCCGAACTCCATCACTTCATCCAATCAAACTCCCTCAATTGTAATCTCTTGAGACCAAGTTAATACTGCTTCTAATACTGCTAATACATGTACTAACACATGAATTGAGTTTTCCCCCCCTTTTTTTTGTTCATTTTAAGAGGTTATACACTAAGAGAGAAATCTGTCTCTCTAGCTCACTTGTAGTGTAACTGTACAAGATTATACTTGACTTGTTATTCTTGAGCTGGGTTTTAACTGCAATTGTTGATTTTTCTAAAAAAAATAATTTCAAAAGACTCTTTATATTACACTCCAACTTGGTAGTTATGGATGAGATGTACGACCTCCACTCTAGCGGTCATGACTATGCAGACAAGGCCTTGATCTCACCCGAGAACTTGATGATGGCTGCCGATTATAGTTACCAAAGCTTTATATCTCCATTGAACGATCATCACCGGAGTCATATATATGGATCAGATGATCATGTAGCTGCAGCAGCAGCAGCTGCGAGTCGGTTTCAGTGTTCGGCGAGTATTTCGGAAGCTGCTTCGATCACTCCTGAAGATATCCAAAGAGGCAGCAGCAGATGCGGTTTTGGTGGTGAAGATGATATTCATGCTGCTGAGGATGCTTGCAGCGTAATCAAGGCCAAAATTGCTTCCCATCCTTCTTATCCAAAACTTCTTGATGCTTATATCGATTGCCAGAAGGTTTTTCTTCTTCAGTGCTGCACTTCTTAAGTGCTAGTAGTTTTCATTTTGACTTTGCTCTCCATTTAATGTTCCGAGCTTCCTAAGATATTTAACTATGATTATGTAGTATCAAACAAGTACTATGTTCTAGTACTAAAAATGAGGGACGGGTCATTTCTTTGGGAGGCTTGACCTAAATCGCTGAACTTTATTTGATGGTGTTACTTTATTGGGCTTTTTGGCCAAGGAAGAATAGGAAAACTACTTGGTTACCTCAATGAAAAGATGTATAACATCTACAGACTTGTCAGTTCTTGATTGTGAATCCATTTGTTCCTTGTGATTCTTGAAGCATACTAGAATGATGGTCGTCTTATGTTCTGGGGTTTGTTTTTCGTTTTTTAATTACTATGGCTGCTTCAGGATTGACTAATGCTGAACTACGTGTGATATGATTATTTGTGTGTTGGACGGACTTTTGTAGGTGGGAGCTCCGCCGGAAATAGCGGGTTTCTTGGATGAGATCAGGCAAGAAAACGGGGGCTTTTGTAAAGGGAACGCTATTTCCACGTGCTTGGGAGCCGATCCTGAGCTCGACGAGTTCATGGTCGGTCTGTTTGTCTCTTTATCGCCTTTATGGTTTATATACTCTAGACACTCGGGCACCTGGATCATCTTCTTCTTCTCCCATTCTTGTACTCTCAATTTAAGTTTGACTTCATATTCGACTACTTATACTGCTGTTTGTTTGTCTGACTTTCACTGTGGATATTTGTGTAGACGTGGCTTGAATCCTTGACTTTGGTACTGTGGTTTATTTATGTAGGAAACCTACTATGACATACTGGTGAAATACAAATCTGATCTTTCGAGACCTTTCAATGAAGCTACTACCTTCCTGAACAAGATTGAAATGCAGCTTGGCAACCTTTGTAAAGGTATGTATATATTCTGATCTCAGTTTCTCCCTTTTCACACTCTCCCCTCTGTCTTTCTTCTTCTCATGATTGTTCGTATATCCCAGCCTGTTTACTTTTGTATCTTGTAGCAAACCTTGAGCAAAGATGATGTGAGTAGCATTCAGTTTTTCTGGAATTCTTTGAATTCCTGAATTTCGTCAGTTTAGCAATTCTGGTTAGAAAGACTTATATCTTAGTCTTCTTGCTTCTTGCCTTCATTAACAAATCTAGTACATGTATTCTGGTTGATGCAAAATAGTGAGAACATATGATCAGAATTGGGATCTGGAGCAATTGCCAGGACCAGGAATAGCTTTGAAAGAATGAATTAACCCTCCATAATTGATTAAGAACTGTTTCTCCTCTTTGTTTTGTTTTGTTGGTTTTTGCCAAGTACGAAATTTTGGATCTTTTGTGCATTTCTTGGCCTTCTATTTTATGAGTGATATATTTATTTTTGTGGATGGCTTGTTAAGCTATCTTGATTATCTGGTCTTTTGTTTGTTGAATTGTCAGAACCTTAATAGCAAATGGTGTTTTGGTTCATTAGATTTCTTTTTCATCCATGCTTTTTTTGTGTTAGAGATGGTTCAAGCATGGAAACAAGCTTGTTAAGAGGAGATTTTGATTTTGACCCTTCGGAATTTCGGATGACATGATAGAGAATAATTTTTCCAATGGTCGTCCAACCAAACCCCACTCCTCCTGCTCTTTCAGAAAAGCAATAAATAATTTCTGTGAAAATCTTTGATGATTAAAAATAAATTTAAAAATGATAAAGTTATATCATTTATTTAGGTATAATGTATAGAGCAATTGTATTTTTATGTAATGGACTAACTTTTGTAGTTAGGAAGAAGTGTTCTGTGAAATAAATATACTTCAGCTAGTTTACATTTCCATTAAGGTTTGAGTGGTTTCCTTCCAATTTTGGAATCCCAAATTGCTCGTAGGAATACAAATATTTACCTTTTTGTTTCAGCAACCTCCTCTTCATGCATGTTAAGTGATGTAAAGTGAAAGTGGGTTGCTAAACACTACTTTGGAATTCTCATCACCTCTATGTGATTACTTCTTAATCTAAGCCAATAACTTCACATAATGCCAGCTTCTCGTCGTGGCATAGAAATTACATAAGATATACATACGTAATCTTCGCCATGAGATTTGACATTGAACCGCATAATTTGGCCTAAACCGAATTGAATCAGTGAGAAGAGCCCGCCCCCACCCCCTGCCCCAGCAAACAAAAAAAAAAAACAAAAAACAAAGAATCAGTCACAATTAACTTGACTGTGGAAATAATTAGCTTACTTGTTCCAATACTACAGCCTACTCAATCTCCTATCTCTACTTTTATTGTTTTTCAGTTTTTCCTTCCTAAACATCATGTGGTTCGTTCATTAGTTGAGGAATATTTATGATCATCAGTCCCTTGGTCCGAGTATCTAATTGAATCATATGATTACTCTTTACATGTTACTATTTTCAAGTTAAGATTGAATAAGCTTTTTCTCCTGCATGCCCTCCCAACCAAGTGAAAGTGTCTTAATGAGTTGTCTTAACTACTGTTTCTTTCCCAGAATGGAAAGATTTTCTTGTGGTGGGAATTGAGTGAGCATCTGAACGTTCTTTCTCTTTCTCTTCAATCCATGAAGTCATGCGAAATTTCTAAAATATATTTTTTTCTATGAAAAAGTGTATGCATATATATATTTGGAACTGGACTATAGTTGCTGCTTCTTTTTAGAAATTGATGAATCCCATGGTGACTTGGGAGTGCTGTAATGCTTTCCTAAAAAATATTATTAGTTACCCAGAGATGGATCCTTATGCACAACCTTTCTTCCGTTATTTCCCCAAGTAGGACTATTGATACTTGTGGTCTGTAATGATGTCAGGTTACTTTGCAGAGTGTCAAGTTCCAATAATAGAAATGTTTTGGCTGAGCATGTATTGAAGATAAGAATCAAACGTGGGAACTGTCAAATAAAGTCAAATAGGTGTGTTGTTAAGCCAAGTATTGTTTGAGACCAAGTTCTTTGAATTCGCAATAATTGTTTGGAGAAAGGTTATATGGTCTGTGAGACACACAGCCCATTTGATCCTCATTCGCATTTCAAGGTAGTAGTGGTCGCATTAGCAGTTGTGCGTGCATTCAGTTTCCCAAGCTTGCCTGACAGCATAGCTTGTATGGGCCTTTGTATGAAGAGATTTTCTGCCTCTGCCTCTCTCGCGTCTAAGTATTTGTTAGCGCAATCGTCGCACATTCATTGCGGTGGTTCCTGAGCTCTCTTTTGGCAGAAGTGTTTGCTAATTGGACCAATTAATCAGCAGACATGTCGTGTAGGCTCAACCTGTGTTGAAGTAATTAATCTGGTAAAAATCTCACCCTCGACTAATACAAAAACCTAGGTATCAGGTGTAAAGCTAGAGCTAGGGCTTTTTTCTTTTCCATCTTTAGGCAAAAGCAAGTGGATGTCATGGCATGTATTTGTTATGCCTTTGGAACCACCATTGACGTGAATTCTGATGATTAAAGTAGTGATGTCCAAGTAGAAAAGCTGCAGTTTAAGGTATGGGTTTATTGATGGATGCTAACAAGTATTCTTTTTAGTTTTTGGAAGTACAAAATAACTTTTCGGTGATGCTGAATCATTTGTGGCTGGCCTGGTCTGTGCTCTTTGTTTCCTTGGCTGATGCTCCAGTTGTTAAATGTTACTTAGTATTTTTACCTGCTAATATTGAGATGCTAAGGACTAAGGAGGCGTCAGCGTTGTGTTATATATGTTGGCACATCCTCACGTGCTTAGATTGTTTAAATTTCAGATATGCCTACCGTCCCTGATGCTATTTCAAGGCGTCCTTTATCACTTTCTGCCCAGTTAATGATGTCCAAAATTCTTCTTTTTTCCCCTCTCTCGTGTCTCTTATTATTCTTTCTTTTTTTTTTTTTTTTTTTTTTTTGCGTTTTATGGTTTGATAATTAACATGGATATAGGAAGGAAGTTGTTGTCAGTGCAGTTGGTTGTACTAGGTTAAATGCACCACCCAAAAAAAAAAAAACCTTTGGAGTGGGAACCAGGAATTAATGAGAAATTTGGTCGCTAATGCATTGGCAAGCCCGTAGCTGTATTCTTCTTCTGTTTACCTTTTCCTAGATTTTTCTTTGGAATGAGTACTTGGGATATTTCTCATATAATTTTGTGTGTCGTGTCTTTAAATATTAAAAAAAAAAAAAAGATATTCTGAGGGGATAATTGCTGCGTAAGAAAGCTCTTGACCAAGTTTCTCATTTATTTTTTAAGGGTCACTTTGGAATCTACCTGCACCTGCAGGAAACCTTTTCTCTGTATACGAACGCTTGTTCTGGTTCCTTGCGTAGACTTGCGGTTACAGGTGTGAGATGTGTTAATAAGACCAAGGTTAAGCTCTTCTCTTCTTCAACCAAAAAATGACTCTCGCTTCGTTTAAAATATCTACGACGAGGCTGGTCATGCGTCCCAATTATACGGTCATTGGCATTTAGGGCACCGCGGACGGCTGGTTGTTGGTGCCTATCATCGTTCAGGTAATAAGAACAAGGTTAAATTGCAGCTGGTGGATCGGTGGTGCTTCGCTCGAGTGAATGATAAAATGATATGAGGTCTGTGGGGCTTGGATCATGGATGATGATGATATGAGGTCTGTGGGGCTGTGGCCCTTCACCTTTGTGGGGTAAGGAAAGGCTTTAATGGAAAGCCCCGGATAGGGCGGGTGGTCGAGGTTCACATGGACTCCCGTAGTTCGCGCTGCGAACCAGCTTTCGAAGCCTTCTAAGACGCATAAAAAACACGCACACACGCACTTGGCAGTGCGCACTGAGAGTGAGAGGGAGAGGGAGGGGGATGTGGACTGCGGACTACGGAGTGGAGGTGGTGCTTCCTTCCTTCTCTTCTTTCTTTCTCTCTCTTTTTCTACCTGTGGCTACCTGTGGCTGGCGATATATGCATGCAGGGTTGGGTAGTGGGGGTCAAATCTAGGGGAGGGCCGCAGGGACAATTGTCCAGTCAGTCCTACTCATGGGTCTCCGTGCCTTCTTCATTAACAGCTGCTCTCTTTTAGATATTGTGGAACTTTGATGATCTCAATTAATTTGCTTCTAGGCCTGCCTTGCTTGTGGATCCCTCAACGAATATTTTTTCTCTGGGGATTCGAAGATATTTTTATTAATTTCTCAAAATTTTTTTTTACACTTCCTTCATTCTGCTTTTTGAGTTGTTATTATTTTTCTTTCTTAAAGAAAATAATCAATTTTCTTTCTAAAAAATGTTGTGTTATTACTTTGTGTGGAAAGTGAATTTCCTTTGTATTGCTCGAGTGGGATGCTATTACCCAAAATAAGCATTTTTTTAATTGAAGTTTTTTAATTGAATATTAGGGTTTTGTGACTCTACAACTGCTCAAAACCCTTTAATCAAGGTGTGGAGGATTGTATTTAAACTAAGTATTGATACTACTAGTGTTGTCTAGATTGAGAATTTGTGCTACATATATGAAGTTTGATCATCTTGAAAAGTTCAAGCATGGGGAGTTATTAGCTTATTAATTTTTTAATGCATGGCGTATTTGCTAAAACTTCCCTTTTTCTTTTTTTATGGCATTGCCTAAATTTTCTGAGGTTAATGCATGGTTGTTCATTGTGTTCTTTCCGGTTACTTCTTCTTGGTCTGAGATTAATTGCTCATTCTGGGGTCATTTCCCATTTAATCAACTACTAATAAATGTTAAATAGTACGGCTCTTGAGGAGAACGTCATAGACATTTTACATGAACCCAAGCAAACTTTTCTACTTTTCGTATGCAAGAATGGGAAAAAAAATAAGAATGAGAAGAGACAACTGCATGGTTAAGCTTTTAATCTATTATAGGTTTCTTTTAAGTAATGGTATATGGAGAGTGTTTAGATAGTAGATTATTTGGGATAATATTTTGAAAAAAAAAATATTATAATGTGATATATTTGAGATAAAAAGGTGGTTAAAAAAAAAAATGCTGATGTTGGGAGTAAACAAAATTTGAAGAATAATCTAATATCTAAGTAAACAATCTTCGACTAGAGTGAGACAAAGGGAAGGAGCCAGTAGTGATTGAGTGGGAAAGAAATACAACAATTTGTTTTGGACGAGTGATGGGTCTTGTTGAATTTGCTAGGAATAATAATAAGGTCACAGTGCCCCCATACAATGCGTGATGGTTCCTTTCCGTGGAGGGCTTGGCTATAGATTCACTGAGATGCTCGAATAATTATCCATGCTTTGATGGTCGTAATGTCTTGTCAAGCTCTGCAAAAACTGACTTGGATACGACTCCACAACTGAAGCCAGAAAAGAAAAAGGAAAGAGAGGAGGAAAAACCAATGAAGATGCAGCTCTTGGGCTTCATTCAAGTGTGACTGGAGCAGTACCATGATCATTATTGCTTTCGATCTAAAACAATAGTCAAGAAATTTTCAGGCCACCGATAAAACAACTCTAAATTCTTCCTTCCTTTAGGGTGGTCAAAGTTATTTGATGTGGTAAGCAGCGCGACAGGAGAAACGTATGGTTTTATAATTAGAAGCATAACTGATGGTCCGAGGATTGATTCTTTAACTACATTGAAATCACTTTATATCATCATCAAACCGATGTCATGATAGCAAAATGGCCAACCAAAACTGTGTGTATATATGTTTGATTAGTTTGAATTGGAGTTGAGCAATTTGGATCTCACGGTTGCATTTTATGTACTTGCAAATGACGGTATGCGGGCAGATGATGGTGCAGTATCATCAGACGATGAACTAAGTGGTGTGGAGACAGATGTGCAAGATTCCCAAACAAAAGCTGAAGACCGAGAACTCAAGGAAACGCTATTGCGTAAATATGGAAATCACATAAGCAGCTTAAAATTGGAATTCTCAAAGAAGAAAAAGAAAGGAAAGCTTCCCAAGGAGGCCAGGCAGATCTTGCTTGAATGGTGGAATGTTCACTACAAATGGCCGTACCCAACTGTGAGTATTGCCCGTCTCTTTTGGACTAGCTTGTTAAATTACTGTATCCTGTTTTCGATTTCTTTATTTTATTTTATTTTTGACTGGGCTGGAGTATTATTATTATTATTATTTTTCACCATCTTGAGCGTCTAGGAAGCTGATAAAATTTCGCTGGCTGAATCAACCGGACTTGATCAGAAGCAGATTAACAATTGGTTCATTAACCAGAGGAAGCGGCATTGGAAACCCTCCGAGAATATGCAGTTAGCTGTTATGGATAGTCTGTCTGGACAATTTTTTGCTGATGACTAGGGTTTTTCTTTTGTAATACATTTTCACATTTATGCTTATTTTCTGGGAAATGCTTTGTTCATGTATATTCATGTGGATGAACTAATTGATGAAAGGACACTCTAGTTCTTTTCCAAATAAAACTCTCTCATTTCTCTCCTCATTAAACTCTCACACTCTCACTGTTTCCAAAAGAACTAAAATGAGAATCTAGTTTTTTTTTCTTCATTTTGAGTTAGTATTCATTGAACAGATGATCCTTGTAATTTAACTGAGAGTTTGTTTTAAGGCACGTTCATAAATATAGGTTTGTGTAGGTAGTGAAAGTTTGTATTAATACACTTTTGTAAATATTAAGTTTGGAAAAAAAATATCATATAACGTACGCTCTTTAAGTAACCCCCTTTTTTCAGTCTTCAAATGACTTTTAATTCGTTTCAGAAAAAATTTGTGTATATGGGTGCATATCATATTGGGATTGATTTTTATGCACTATCAGTATAGAGATGTTTTTACACGAGCAAATGTAAATGAATGCCACAATATTTATCGTTTAAATTTTAAATTTATTTTTTGTTCATGTGTCATAAATTTATAATTGATAGGTTAAACAAAAATCTTTATACTGATAGTGTATATAACATTATTCGCCTAATATATTTTAATAACTATCCTTCCAAGTTCCAACTGTCGTTAGTTCATGATTTAATGTATGCGCTCTACTTTCCTAATTTTATGCTTAATAAAATAAGTAAATTTTATATACATTAATAGTGTAAATATTATCATTGTTAAATTAATAATATTTGTGTAAAAATCTAATTTTAAAATTTATATTTTATATAATTATCATTTATTTAACGTTAACACTATCAGTATAGAAAAAATTAGTCTTAATAAAATACATAAAGGTGTATATCAAAATGAGAAGCGCGGGTTAAAAGGGGTGGAAATTCAGAGTGGGATCTGGGCCGCGGACTCTTGCGATAAGGCGTTGTGGATTGAGAACATTGGTTCTACAGATTTGGGCCACTAGTTGCGGCGCGGAACACAAAGGATAGTGCTCAACAGGAAAGAACATGGTACTGAAGTTGGCCCTTTGTGGCCCAGTAACAGGGCCTTCTTTACCGGACACCCGGATGAAGAGAAACAGGCAGTGTAGCAAGAGCACATGGATAATGCGATAATGTCAGCAGCATCGCTCCACCGGACTCTTCCCGCGCTACCAGGGCAGCACTCCCGACCAGTTTTCCGGTCCAAAACCCGTCTGGTCCGATGCTCTAACGAGCGCCAGGTGCTTTTTGATCGCATTGCTCCTGTCTATGACAACGTAAGCCCCCCAAACTACCTCCTCCACGGTAAAATTACTCGTTACATTTCTGCATATTTGTGGTCAAATGGGTTCCTTTGTTTTGATTTTTGTGCATGTATATTTTGTAGCTGAATGACTTGTTGACTGTTGGTCAGCACCGGATATGGAAAAGAATGGCTATTTCTTGGAGTGGGTATGGCCCCAATTTCTTGAATTTTAGTTGTAGCTCTTTTGTGCGCTAGCTATCTGTATAATTGTTAAAAATTGAATTTTTTTGGTTGGTGTTTTCGATGCAGAGCAAAAAAGGGAGATAATGTGTTGGATGTATGTTGTGGAACTGGAGATTTAGCTTTTCTTCTATCCGAGAAAGTTGGACCTACTGGCAAGGTTTGGCATCTATTTCTTTTGGAGCTAAATTTTTGAAGTCGCTAAGGTTCATATGCTTAATCCTAGTGGGAAAAAACCACATGAGGTGAACTTGTTCATGCCCTTTTTTTCTTTTTTGGTCTCCCTTAAACCAAAATTTTCTTGCGTAAGAGGCTTCCATTTGCATCCTTTCTGAGTTGTCTGTTATTTTCCCCCAAACAAAGATGCATTATTAGATGGAAATGTTTTACTATATTTCTAACACTGTGGCCCTTCCCTTTATGATTGATTTATCTCTCAAATACACGTTGCTATTTATCTGTCTTGGTTCGACACTGTCCACGGCATCATAGGTTTCATTATTCTCCTAACTCAAATTTGTCCATCTTTATCAGTTCTGTTTCCCTTTTGGCGTGTTATATTCCATAACACATCATCCTTCATATTTCTTGAGCTTGCAGGTGGTTGGTCTTGATTTCTCAAAGCAGCAGTTATTGATTGCATCTTCCCGACAGCATTCACAATCAAAGACTTGTTACGAAAATATCAAGTGAGCATTGGTAATTGTACTTCCCATATTTAAATCGTAAACTTACAGAAGGAAGGCTTCTATACAAAAAGTTCTTTGAAGTTTTCCTCTTCAACTACTTAGCAAACTACAAAAGACTGGCTGAGTAACGTCGTCACGAAATTTGAGTTTATGTTCAGATTCTACAAGCATATGCTGGATTCTTTTCCATTCAGTGAATTTTTGGTGTTGCGAACAAATAATATGTTTTGTAGCATATCGTAGGTGGATCGAGGGCAACGCAATTGATTTACCATTTCCTGAATCTTCCTTTGATGCTGTTACTATTGGCTATGGACTACGAAATGTGGTAGATAGGCTTAAAGTATTAGAGGAGGTATGTCGAGTTCTAAAACCAGGGTCCAAAGTATCTGCTCTTGACTTCAACAAGAGCACTAATCCCTTCAGCACCTCCTTTCAGGTACGTCTTGCATGCAAGTACTCAATGTAAAATAAAACCGGGATGGATTGTACCCTTTTCATTCATCCTTCTCCCTCTAAACTTACAGAGTTGATTCTTAGAATGATCAAGAATTTGTATGCTGTAAATGCTGACGTCTCATCTTACAACCTAGTAAAAATTAATCCTGAATCGTAATGCATGAAATCGTACTTTACTTAAATTAGTAAGTCACTAACATCATTCTTCAAACATCATGGATGGTTCTGCTGAGTATTTTATTTGAAGATTTGCAGTGTGTTCTTGAGATCTGACTCAGTTTTTCATCTTGAGAATTGATGCCGTGTCGTTCATGGAAGTGAAGTTGCAGTTTCGTAGATGTATCCATACTCATTGCCACTGATTGTACTTTTCGGTTTCTATATCCTTAGGAATGGATGATTGATTATGTTGTTGTTCCAGCAGCTGATATTTATGGCCTTGCAAATGAGTACAGATACTTGAAAAGGTCAATAAATGAGTTTTTAACAGGTTTGTCATCTGCATATACTGCTTTAGATCTTTTTAATAAAGTCTAGGATAACAATATTGATTTCAACTTAATTCTTGTGGAAGTAGTTGTACTTTTTCTTGTTTTTTGTCAGAAACTTTAGCCTTACAATGAAGTTAGATGATTGCTAGCTAAAATTTTTCGCTTTAGTATCTCGTGATGTCTGTATAATTATTATGCAGGAAAGGAGTTAGAGAGGCTTGCGTTGAATGCAGGCTTTTGTAGTGCAAAACATTTTGAAACTGGTGGAGGACTCATGGGGAACTTGGTAGCTGTACGATATGGATACATTCCCTAATTCCTCTCATCAGTGAGAGGTATATGGCTCTTGATTTTTGCATTTTTTTTAGTTGATGCAGTGGCTCGGAATTTTGGAAAATTTTCCACGTCTAGCTCTGATATGTTTATTTTGAATGGTAAATCGCAAGTGGCTACTGTATTTGTAGCATTTGCTTGTAATTTTACGGATTTTGCGGGTGTCCTTGACAATGATAAAAAGACAGATATAATGTATGTGAAATTAAAAGCCGGACAATGATAAATACTAGCTGCTGCTACGTTCAAATATTCTGTGTTGGACCTGGCCTTCATGCCTATGAAATTATAAAGGGATACAAACAAATGATAGTCTCAGTTGGCCACCGGAGAGGGACTATTGTCCCGCCTTGTGTGTAGGCAAGGGTTTGAAACCTCTTGCCTGCATTTTTTGTTCAGGATTTCTTTGAACCATTTTCGGAGGTGGTTTAATTCCTTTCGAGTTCTCAATAGCTTAGTTGGGATCCATCCCATCCCCCCTAGTATAAGATCATTTGTAAAATGTTGCCCTCGAAAAAAAAAATGATAGTGAACGAAGGAAGATCGAACGAAAATGTAATGACAATTTTGCTAGCAAGCTAGACAATACACACTCAGGAAGTTTGCGACAGTCACAAACACAAACACAAATTTTACAAGAAAAGGCGTATGCTTGATTTATTAAAACTCTAGTATGTACAAAAAGGATAAGATTTCTAAAGTAAAGAATCAAAACCAAAATTCATGATGGTATCTCCTAGCGCGACTCCATATGTGCCCCCTCTATAATGAAATCACTCAATATGCTTGTCTTATTCTTCCTTCTTTTTTTTTTATTTGTTCAAATCTGGGTATGTAGGCATTTACTTGCACTTCATAACAGAAGCTCACCTCCAATTGCATTGAAAACTTGAACGGAGGAAATAGTGTATATTCGTCTCCAGTGACAGCAACTTCAGTGGCCCAGAGATGGATGCAATGATGATGCTATATAGCTTATTCGACGAGTCCACGGGTTTCAAACGCTTTTCGGATGTCACCTGGGGTAGAACGAACTGTGGGACAAGCTGGCATTCGAAGCAGAATCACCATGTCTGAAGGGGTGATGTGGGTTCTCAAATGTGTCATTGAGTTCCATAGTACTCTCATCTATAAAAGGTGGGTTCGTGGGTGTAGGGAGCTGTTCATCCTTCTTAGCCAGTATCCGCAATGCAGTGGACATGGATGGTCGCAATGATGGGATTTCCTGGGTACAGAGAAGTCCTATATGAACCACTCTCAGTACCTCAGCTCTAACATTCATGTTGAGATAATTTTGCAACATTAGGTTAGGGTCAAACAACTCCTCCACCTTCCCTTGCAGGAAATGCTTCCAGGCCTGTCTCATTCAAAACATTGGAGTAAGAAAAACAAGGTGAAAACATTTACGTTAGGAGACATACAAGGAGAAGGAAGATAACAGGCAGAAAACAGAATTAGGTAAAACAAACAGTGGTTTGGACTTACAATGGTGACCAAGCTGTCAGAGTACTCTGTAGTTTTACTCCTATTATTCTGCCTTCCAGAGACAATCTCCAATAAGAGTACACCAAAGCTGTAAACATCTGCCTTGTCTGTCAGCTGGCCATGAGCTAGGTATTCTGGGGCCATATATCCCCTGTGAAATTGTAAAAATCATATCTCAGCAAATGATGGCTACTGACTTGGTTATGGGCAAATGGTAAGATCATTTAAAACTCTTAAGCCATAATCTGTCATGTAGTAACTTCTGTTTTCGATACTTACAATGTCCCTGCAATGGCAGTACTTATGTGGCTCTTATCTTCTTGGAAAGACCTTGCCAAACCAAAATCAGCGATTTTGGAACGAAGCCTTGAATCCAGCAGAATATTACTTGCTTTTATATCTCTATGAATAATTCGACACTTTGTGTTTTCGTGCAGGTAGACTAATCCCTCTGCCGTCCCTATAATTATCTCAAATCTCTTCTCCCAGTTAAGTGCTTTACCTTTATTTGCATCTGTGACATCAGTTAAATAATGTAGTTTGTCATTTAACTCCAGAACAACATTAATGTAATATGGACCAAATGCTCTGTTACGATCAACAATGTCTTGTCTTAAGAAGCTCTTGAAGTTAAATTTACTGTCTAATCCCTTGATATATAATCTATACTTACCAAAAATAAAGCGGTCAAGACTCTTATTTGGAAGGAATTCATATACAAGAAGGCTTTCAGGTCCTGAACAGCTGCATCCCAACAACCTGACCAAATTCTTGTGCTCAACGCTACTAATAATGTTAACTTCATTGTAGAAATCTGCTGCTCTGTGTTTGTTATTGAAGAAAAGCCTCTTAACAGCAATCTCTCTTCCATCTGGTAAAACTCCCTGTACAAATGATGAAACTTAGGCATAAACCCGAAATAATACAAATGGTGTTTGATTAGATGTTGTATGCATTTGTGGTTGAAGAGAGAATTGTGCTTTAGTCATTTACCTTGTAGACGGTTCCAAATCCACCTTGCCCCAGCTTATTGGCTTCATCAAATGAACCAGTGGCTTTCTCAAGAGTGGAGTATTTGAAGTTCAAGCTGCTATCATGAAGAGTTTTCACCAATTTCTCCGCATCATTTGAGCCTTAAAAGAGTTGCAAGAGATTTCAAGCACAATCAACTTACAGTCAGAGTGAGTGCATATTTTGTATCGAGTTACATCACTTCTGTTGCTATTCTAAACATTATCACATGACCAACTGCTCTACAGTCAATGTAAAATGTTTAGTAGCGAAAAATTACATGTAAATTTGGTTCTCCTATTTCATTAATTGGAAGCAATAACCAGTGGCTTTCAAAACTGGCGCATGCCATATGATGACATATGAAGTTGACCTACCTTTTCGCTTCTTCTGTATTCTTTTGTTCTTCCAGAAATAGGCTCCAATGATTGCTCCCACGGCCAAAACAATTGCAGAACTCACTGCAGCAACAACAATGACTACAACTGTCCCTGCAAATATTGTCATTAAGAAATCAAGATCACCATGAGTAGGAACATCACCCGCTTTTGATTCTAAACGGCATATGCATCCATGCTAAACCCCCCCCCCCCCACCCCCTCTCTCCCAAAAAAAGGAGGGAAAACAGAAATGAAAAATGGATAACAAGATAAGGGAACAGAATTATAAGACCCTAAAAGAGCTCATTTTACCTCTTGATCTTCCACTTCCTGGTATTGGATTGAGAAAATTAATGTCCGAGTACCTCATGAAGCATCCTGTGTTGAGTGCCCTGCCCTCAGACCAAGGCAAGCAACCCAATATGGATTTACTAGCATTTTCAAGACATGCTCTGCAAGAGTTAGCATTCAGTGTCTTCCAACAGTCAGCCAAAACATAAGCTGACTCATTTGATGTCCCAGACACCTGCAATGCAGCACGTGCATAACCATTACTGTTTGGTGCACCTGTAGCTGCTTGTAACACAGCCCGTCTAGCCGCTTCCTGGAATGTTGAGCTCTTTCTTGTTCTATTCCCACAAACAGCATGGTCCTGTGGTCCTTTGAACTCCTGAAAGAAGCTGTAGTTCTCTGCTCTCATGAAGCAGCCATCCAGAAAAATCCGGCCCCCATTGAAAGGAAAGCACTGAGGAAGGACAGTACGAGCTTCAGCATAGCACAATACGCAGTCAAGAAGAGAAAGATCACCATAGCACTGGGCTAGCCCATAATTAGTATCAGGTCCTTTGCCTGTAATAGATACTCCAAAACCTTTGCTACGCATTTGGTCGCTAATGTTTTCCATTGTAGCAACAAAATTTGGGACAAAAAGTGTGGTGTTGTGCTCAGGCTGGTGACCGCACATAAATTCGACAGTCTGCGCTCTTGGATCCCCAACTGATGCATCAGGTAATACCATGATCGCCACAAGTATTAACAGAAGAGATGCAATTGTGGGTGTCTGGAATTCTCTCATCATATTCGCTGGTTGATATGGTTTTGCTAATGAATCTGTTTACGGAAAAGAACTGTTCAGGTGCTTCATAAGAAAATTGAACTGAAATCAAGATGTTCGTCCACTGTGGACACTCGAGTTAAAAAGGGCAGCAAAAGCAACCAATGGAGGAACATCCTAACAAGCAGGATGGAACTTTCATAAATTATGCAGTGTTAAAACTCCTCTTGCATAGCTTACTGCACGGTCAAAAACATTCCCACAAACTCGTGACGCTATAATCAGTGATATCCTAAGCTGCCATTCTCTCTCATTTTTCGGCAGGTAATTCATAGGCCCAGAGAAAATTCCAAGAAGACAACAAACAATAGGTCAACGACGCTCTAGAACAAGTGAGAAAAGGTGTGAAAGCCACAGAGAGCATTTAACTCGATACAATCCATCATAAGCCCTTGAGTTGTTTAACAAAGTCAAAATCATGTTGCTTGTTTTTTTTCTCCGTTTTCACGGAATTAGTCTTTGGTTCACACTAATCTAGCAATATCTTAAGCATTCACATTTACTCTCAGGCCTAATGTCACCAGACACAGGTTTCCCATCTAAATGTAGTTAAATTAAAAAATAAAAAAACAAATACCCAACCCTTGCAAACCGCAATTAATGCAAAATCGCCCATGACTTCTGCTAGTAGTAAAAGTTGTCATGTGGGACCATGACAACAAATCAGTGATAAGAACCCTTGAAAATGGCTTCTTACACGAAAATAATAGCAAGAGGGCTACACCTCAACGCCCAAACCAACCCATAATTAATTTCAAAAGAAAAGAAAGGTGAGGCCCCACATGATCTCTGATTCATTTGCCAGCAGCAGCCAAGTAGGCGGTAGCCAATGCACGCATGTGACATGAGGCTTAATGTAGGAAACTAGCCAAAATCAAATCTGAGCTTTGAGTTCGCAAAAATCCATATTCTAACCAGCTGCCGCGTTCTACACGGCAAAGGTTACTTCAACTTTTCAAAGATGATGATATTTTACAGGCAACGTCTTTTCTTTGTATTTTCAACCTTTTCGTCTTTAGGATTTTCTACACAAGAACATGAGAATCAAAGTTGAATAACATGATAAGATGCATTATGCTGCTAAGTTTATCCATATATTAGCCAAGTTGCCAATTAGGTAAATATTAAAGAACCCATGTGGATTAAGAACTGACAAATAAATACAAGAATCTGTTCTTCTAGCACTTGAATTGTTTTGGAGGTGAAAACGATAAACAGGAGCTATATAAACTATTTACAGATCAATGCACTAGTTGTACAAATTAATGCACTGAGAAAGTGTCCCTAACATGGTCTGCGGGCCTCTTCAGCATTAATCATAGTCAACCATGGAAACCAGCTAATGGCAAAAATTTAGGGGAAAGAAAAAGGGCCCAGTTTTCTGAACCTGTCATCCAGAAAATCATGAAAGAACTAAGAAGTCTTAAATTCATAAAAATTTCTGGTATAAAGATTGCGTTATTGAATATTCCTTATGGAAAAGAGCAGCCAGAATCCATTAGTCTATCAGCAGTAAATATTTTTGTGCAAAATATTTTAGAAATATGAATTACATATATCTACAGTTGCATAAAAACACAGACCGATCACAGAATATCAGGAGCAGGAACTGAATCCTGAGCTTTTCGACGGAATATTCGGTCAAGTTCATAAGCTCTCTGAAATGATTTACTACATGGAATCCAAGATAAGCTAAAAAGATTTTAAAAAACTTCAAACAATATCATGCAAATTCCAGCAAGAATTGATGGGAAAAAAATGGATTAATTCATTATCATAGTCTAACCTGTGTTTCTCTACATGGGCTTGCAGGGAATTGGAGTTCTGGTGAAGGCAGCAAATTCTGGATAGACAGAAAAAGAGAAAATGGGGAGGTGGGTATATGTGTAGCAGAGAGCGCTGAAGTTTGGTGTAAAGATCGCACAAGTCAAAGCGAAGAATCTCTGGGATTGCTTTTGGAATTTTCCGGTGAATAGATTTTCTAATAGAGAGAGAATGACTATCGATCAGACTTCAGAGAATGGATAATGGAGGACTCGAGGGTCGAAACAGTGACTTTGAAAGAAGACGCGGGTTCTTTCTTTATTTTAAGGGATAATTGCAGAAACCTCCCCTGACTTTTATAGTAATGGCATTGACCTCCCCTATTAAATCTGAAATAGCACTGACCTCCCCTATCAAAAGTTGGAGGCAATTTAATAGGCAAAAGTGGATCAATTTACTAAAGTACCCCTGACATGATTTAATTTTACCAAATGAATGTGATAGTACTTTCGTCAAACCCAACAAAACATTTGTTAATAAAAATTACACTAAATTAACTATTTCTACATAGTTTAACTAATTAACTAAATAACTAATAATCTAATTAATTAATAACTAATTATCTAATTAACTATTAACTAATTAACTAATTATCTAATTGTTAATAGTTATTAACTAATCAAACTATTTCTGCATAGTTAAACTAATTAACTATTAACTAATAAACTAATTATCTAATTAATTAATTAACTAATTAACTAATTTCTATTTATCTAATTAACTAAAGCTGTTGTCTGTCCGAAACTAACAAACTATTTGCATGTTAAACTAATTAACTAATTAACTGCTTAACTAATTAACTAAATAATTATCTAATTAATTAAGTAACTAATTAACTAATTTTTGTTTATCTAATTAACTAATTAACTAAAACTGTTGTCTATCCGAAACTAATAAACTATTTGCATGTTAGACTAATTAACTAATTAACTAACTAACTAATTAACAAACTATTTGCATGTTAAACTATATGCAGTACGCATTATCTATTTAAAGTATCGGCTCTTTATGGGTATTTTACTTTCAAACATTTAATTTTTGATAAAAACATCAATATTTGTAAGTGAAATTCAAAAAGTGTTACACTAATATCAATATTAGTACTTTCAAATATTTAATTTATGACCTTATGTCCAACCCTTTTTGTAAGAATATTACTGTAATACTTTTTGAATTTTACATACAA